AATCCACACTGAAGTGTCTCATTATTGCCCTCTCGATATCCATTCTGATTAAACTAATTTTCCACACTTTTCTGTCATCAGAAGGATCTAGATCAGAAAGCACATATAAAATGGTAAAAGTCCATCTTGTTTGTGAAATCTTTTGCTGCATAAATGGCCTTTAAACTATTATACCTTAGGAAATATTGCATCCAAGCAACCCCTTACAAATTGTGACAATTCATATTTAAATCCAATAGAAAATTAAGACGTTACAAGATTATTCCCGTTTTATAGATATAAATAAATGCCTTTGACCCGTATGTGAATTGTGTTCAAGGGAACCTGCTATTGAAGTCTGTCTCAATCTGACTTATTAGTGCATCTTAAGTTTTTTTTTAAATCGTAATCAAATTCGGTCACATGGTAGATAGCTGTAGCTTTTTATTTAGTCAACAGACAGTAGAGGTCGTTTCAGTAAGACGTCTGAATCGCTTTTAGCAATTACTGGTATCTTTATATCGTCTCCTGATCTGGTTAAATGCAGACATGTCGCAGTGTTAATAGAATGTATTAATAGTGAGCTGAAGGTTTCAGGTTTTTTACAGGAATGACGACAAACATTTGGTTTCTGCTAACCTGTATAAGTGCGCTGACATCAGTGTCTGAGTGGTAGGTTTGACTCTGGGTTTGAGGTTTGACACATTACCACATGTACACTAATGGAGCGTTTGTCATCATTCTTCTGGGTAATTGTCCGTGTTAGTCAAGGTGAACACTATTCTGCAGCGTATTTTATTATTATTAAAATATACAGGTTACCAGCAGACACTTGTAGGTTTTTTTTAACTACAGATTCAGAGCCGTTTGATAGATGGAAGTGATCGGTGTAAACATTGTGTCTTTGATTTCACTAAGTGCGACCTCATAAACCCTGCTGGCCAGGTTTTAAGAAGTAAAACCAACAACAATTATAGACATCACTACTTATTGTCATCTTTTTTTTATAAGAAACTTCTTTAGATTTTTTTTTTTTTAACCACTGTGTCTGAGGAGGGTTGAAATGGAGGGCGTCTCAGGGTTTTAGGATGAGTTATTGTCTAGCTACCGATCAGTGTGGGCTCTCCAAACTGTAGGAAGCAAAGGTTGTGCAGGAATATTGAAACTGACTGTACTGATCCGTTTGAAAATATATTTTTTATTATTTTGTTAGTGCGATGTTGTTTGCTAAAGTAAGCCTTTTGTTTTATCCCCCCCCCCCCCCCCAATTCATAGGGTCCTTTTGTTAGCAAAAAACAAAAAAAACGGCTATTAAAAACACCCTGGATTTGTTTTTGTTTTTCACTTTAAAAGGTGTTTGTGAATGTCCTAATGTATGATTATCTTTGAGGTTTTTTTATGTATATTTTACTTTTTTTTAGGTACTTTTTATTTGGAAAGAAGTCCGCCTCTGCTGGGCGTAGATGTGAATTATTGATTTGCACATGAATGCATGTACTGTAAATCCTAAAGGTTTGTTTTTGTTGGTTTACTAGTGTTTTCTGTCACTTACTGCATGAAAGTTTGATAAACTGTACTGATCAGTCCAGCTGGGGACTGTTCAATTTTTTTGTTATAACTATTTAAGCACCTGAATAACTTTTTCACTTTTCTTTTAACTTGAACCACCAGGTACTTAAGCTATACTTCATCACATGTGGCCAGTGTTCCAGTTTAAACAGACATATGTATGTATAGTGGGGGTTGATCTTTCTTCAGTTTTTTAGCATGTTTTTAATCCCACTTGTTTTGTTTTCATCTGAAATGTTTTTTTTAATGCAGCCAGTTTTTTGCCTCTGAAGTGCGTCCACGTTTTCATCCACGTTTTCATTAGTATTGTAGCTTCTATTTTTACTCCTGTAGAAGTGTTTTTTTTCCACACCAAAGTATGGCGGCTTGTTTTGAAGCTGTTTGATAAAGAGTTTTTATGCATTTGTTATGTTTATTTCTCCGCCCACAGCAGAGGTCTGCAACCTTTCATATCCAAAGAGTCATTTTGGCCCGAGACCAGCTGAGTAAAAGTTGTTTAGAGCTTCAAAGTGTTACGGGACTTTTGAAATAAAACACAACCCATTACTTTTGTTAAATATCTGCCATAGGAAATCTGTAACCAGCTTCAGCAACCAACAGTTTATTTATATTTTTAGCTTTTAAAATAAAAAGAAAACAAATAAAGATGAAGCATGACATTTCTTCTATAGGGTAATATTTGATAGAAAAAATACCATAATTTCGAAGTTAGCTAAGAAAAATGGCACTGATTCTGTAGTGAAAATGTATAACTAAGGTTTTAAGACTGATATAGATAGTTAAATATATATTTAGCAATTATTATTAGCCCTTGTGGATGGTCCAAAAAGTACGGAAGAGGATTAGGGCCACTGAAAAAAAAAAAAAAAAAGTTAACTGATTTTTTTTTTAGAAATTTCAGTTTAGTATGGGAAAAAATCAGAATTCTGACTTTAATCTCAGAATTCTGACTTTTTTCTCAGAAATCTGACTTTAATCTCAGAAATCTGACTTTTCTCAGAATTCTGACTTTTTTCTCAGAATTCTGACTTTAATCTCAGAATTCTGACTTTAAACTCAGAATACTGACTTTAAACTCAGAATTCTGACTTTAATCTCAGAATTCTGACTTTAATCTCAGAATTCTGAGAAAAGTCAGAATTCTGAGAAAAAAGTCAGAATTCTGAGATAAATGTCAGAATCTGACTTTTTTCCCATACTATACTGAAATAAAATAAAAAAAATCAGTTAACTTTTTTTTTTTTTTTTTTTCAGTGGCCCTAATCCTCTTCCGTAAAAAAGAGCCCTGGCCTATAGCTTTAACATTGATAATTACCATAAACAAGCTGTAACTTCACTGACTCTTAAAAAAGGAATAAAACTACTTTTTTTTATGCTTCACAGTTGGATAATTTGATGCTTCTTGGTTTTCATTAATCAAAGAAATCTTTTTTATATATATATTTAAAATGGGCTTCTTTGTATCAGCCAAATATTTTGGTTATGGTTATCCCATCTGTTTATAGGATAACTATGAGACGTGTTCCTCACAAAGGTGTCATTTATGGAAAAGTGGCAATATGTTAAATGTTTAACTAGAAAAACAATGTGGAAGACGATGCTTTGTTCAGATGAAACAAAAACTGCATCATTGGTTCTAAAAACTACCAAAAAACGATTTTATCCCCAAATTAACCAATTTCTGATTAAGCTACTAAACCCTTCATAACACTTTTTTGAACGTTTTCTGGTGGTCAATAACATTAAGAGCCAACATAATATGATAAAAGTTAATGTTTAACACCACAGAATATGAAAAGTACAACCAAAGCAGAAAGAGCAAAGTTGTGAAAAGAAATCTGCAGCTAGATGGCACCAAATCCACACAATTTATTGATTCTTTTTGTATGAAGATGTTTATTTTTAGAAGCAGATGAGTCATTGTTGTCTTGTAGTTTTGAGCCTCTTTTTGGTGCAGACTAAAGAATACAAAAAAGTATAATAGCATAATTTAAATCAGCTGAAAAGAAGTTAATACAATATTTGATAACAGGGGATTTAATTTAATATTACAGATCAAATCATTTTATAAGATGTGCTATTCACAAATCTGACCTCAACATTCAATCCCGTATATAAAAAACTCTTACTAAGAATATGGACCTTCATTTTTTTTACATAGAAAGGCGATAAGCCCACACACAACTTAACAGCAGCCACACTTCCCATCAGTAGTGGGAATCAAACCCACAAGAACTTTTCCCCTTTAAATAGTCACATCAAGAAAAAGAGAAGCAGTAATGGAGGGATGCTGGGCAACACTTTAAAGTCATGGTGCAACGGTTCAAGTAAAGCTGGCCACGGTGCCTGTAAACCCCCACCCCTCTTCACACAGACACGCAAACCGCAACAAGGCGGCTGATCGAGGAAGTGCAACCATTGCAGACTAGAAACTCATTTCAACATTTAGCAGAGACATTTCATTTTTTAAAAACTGCCATAACACCATGTTGATCTGACTCACCTGCCTGTTACCAGCTGACAACTGGGTTGATGGCGTGTCACACATTTTCATCTCACTCTATTGTGCTGAAAAAGGCCTGCTGCATGAACGGAAACACCTCTGAGCCGCTCGTCTTTGGTTTATTGTTGCTCAGCCTCGGCAAACACACGTGAACATAGTGATCTGGGTCATGAGCAAAGCTGACCTATTGAGGGACGGCTTTTTGTTGTACATTATTGATTTAAGATAATGCCACCCTGTCTGAAAACGGTGCAGATGACTCAAACAACAATAGGATTATTGATAAATTAGGCTGGTCCCACAAAAGTTTCGTAATGCATGTAAACATATCTTCCCCTAATTAGAGGCTTTGATGTATTTCTAAAGACCTGTCGAACAACAGCAGCTGCAGCAGGAACAAAAAGCAACGTTTATTTCCAGTTTCATGCTTTGACTGTGAAAAAATAGCCACCCGAAGGCTCTAATTTATGCTTCAGGTCACATTTAAATATTTTCAAAAAGCAGAAAGTGATTGCAGAAAGGGTCTTTACAGCAGATGCGTAGGCGCCATTTAAAGTAGAATCCAAGTAACCATCAGGAAATGTAAGAAACAAATTGCACTATCTGCGTTTGCATATGTGTTTGTGGTTTGAAATGCCTCTTCCTTCTTCTTAAATCAACAGAGTAAAAAAACGATAACGAGTTCAGACTAGAGATGTTGGATACTGACAACGCAGAGCAAAACTTCAAATAAATACAGCTAATAAACAGAGCTGGGTCTTAAATTTCTATTCATAATATTTCTTGAAAGCTGTAACAAAACTGAGACCTTATTTTTCTGACATTTAGGACTGATTCACCTCTGCTGCACTTTTCTTGCTGTTGTTTTCTGCAAGAAAAGTGCAGCAGAAATGTTTATATAGTGATATATATATGTATTTTTTTAAGTGTTTGTATGTGTACAATTGTTAACTTCTTAGAAGCACTCAAATCCCCAAATAAAATAAAAATATTTATCATTTTAAAGGCAAATGTCTGAAAACTGATTTTCTAGTAGAACTCCAGCTCTTTTGGGGGCCCCCTGCTGGCCTGCATGCCACCAACCAAAGCTTGGATTAGCTTGTTGAAGCCCGCTCTGCAGAGATAGATTAAAAAAATGCTGTGAGAAGGAAGTCTCATTTGCAGCACGGAAAGCAACAGCAGAAAAGTTTCTTGCATGGATTGTCTTTCTTGTATCTCACAGCCCGCTTGATCCCACCTGCAGCCTTGGCGACATAGTCCTGAGTTGCACCGACGTTTGCTTCTATGTTGTCCAGCATGCAGCCCTGCTCCTCCACCAACAGGGCCAGCTGGAAGAAGAGTTCATGGATGTCCCTGATGCGGCTCTCCAGCTCCAGCAGCTCCTTGTGTCGGCTTTCTATCTCGTTCAGAGCAGATCTGGCAGTCCTCCCCTCCAGGAGGAGATTATCAGAGAAGATGTTCCACTTTCCTGTCTCAATCATCTCGTCTATCTGCTCCCTGCTCACCTCCTTGCCCATGATCTCTGCTTGCCTCTGGATGCGGGTTTTGCAGTTTTCCCTCTGGATCATTTCCGCCTCGTTGTACTCTGAAATGGCTTCGTGGAAAGCGCTGGTCAGAGACACGTATTGCGAGCGCACAATGCGAGCCACAGCTGACGTAGGTCCATGTTTTTCATCCAGCCCCTTGCTCAGCTTCCCCAGCTTTTCCAGCCGCGCATAAATGGCCTCCCCTCTCGCCTTGATGCTCTTGCCGACCGCGTTTGAGTCTCTCTTGATGCTGCTCAGCCTCCTCACAGATGTCAGGAAGCGAGTGTTCTGCTTCCCCAGACGCTTCACATCCAACTTGAGGAGCAGCATCTCCTTTCTCATTGTTTGGGCCTCTTTGTAGGTGCTCTCCATCACATCTTCGCCCTGAAAGACGATGGCCTGCTGTAGAAGCTCCTCATCCTCTGAGCGGTTGATCTGGCTCCCAATGAGGCTACCCTCCTCCTCTAAGGGGGGGCAGGGGAGGCTCTGTAGCTCGCACAGTCTGTCTTTCATTATACCTGCAGGTGAAGATAATGAATTATGCAACATTTTAAAGTAAATGATCATTTTTACCTCTAAATCAGAAGCTTCTGTTACCTGAGCCATTAATAAAACTATAAAATGTGCAGCAGAAGAAACTTTTGTTTATTCTTTCTCATGAATTAAGAAATGAAACATCAAGTAAAAAACCCTTCAAATTCTAATACAAAATAAGTCATAGTTGTTAATCAAATAACAGGAGTTTTCTGTTTTACAAACTATAAGCAGTTAAGTTCTCAAAATCTTTTTTTTTTTAAGTTATATCCTTGTTTCAAGGTTCCAGTGATTCACAGGCCCTTTGCTCTTCTAACAAACAGTTTCAGTCAAGTTTCATAATGTTATTTTGAAACAGCTGAAAACAGTGGAAATCCATTTGTGTTAAAGAAAAACAGGAAAAGGGAACTTGTTCTGATGTTGGTGAAGATGAAGGCAAACATGATGACGTTAAGGTAGAATGATTTGACTCTACAAAGGAATTGACTTCTTGTGATTCTCACAGAGCAAAAGGGGGATATTTCCTCAGATCGAGAACTGAAACTCCTAACAAGTATAAAAAGAAACATAGAAGCAGAGATTAAACAGGTGTTAGTGAAATGAAATGTCAAGAAAAGCTTCATTAGGGTCTGTTAAGTTTTAGTAGTTAATTATAATTACATTTTAATCAATCATAACAGACAGTAAATGTAGCAACAAATAATTAAATCTGAACATTATCAAATCTAGTTTGATTTAATTGCCAGGGTTTTTTTTTCCATTAAGTAGAAAATATTTAAAGTAATTGCACCTTAATCTAGCATAAAAATGTACAGTAATCCCAGGAAACATTAGCTACTGGATTAGATTTTATTATTAAATTCTATTAAATTTATTACTATTAGCCTCATGTGTTGTGCACAGTAAAGTAAAGTATTTATAAGCTGTACTATAGAGCCATTGAAAGTTCTAGATGGGGGCCGATGGGGGCCAGAGCCCCTATAGAACTGGTCGTGGCCCCTGTTTTCACATCTTTACTGACACAAAAACACAAAACTAAATCTTTTTCTAATGATGAAATGTGCTGGTAAGAAAAACCTTGACTGATTACTCTTTTACCTTCAGAGTTTTACTTTAATAATTGCGTTAAAATCAAGGTGTTGCAACCACAGCGCTAATGCTAAAGTCATATTTGGTAGCTATGCATAGCAAGTCACTGCTGACATCTTAGGCGGTGCTGTAAAGCGTAAATTTACATAAAATCCTGTGAGAATTTCCATAGAGCTGTATAGACATTGACTATATAGAATACCTTTTGGGACACATGTACATGATAAAACCACAGGAGAAAAGAATTATTTTAGTAGAG